TATGATTTTGAAAACCCAAGTTTTTGCACCTCCTGGAACATCGTCTCGCACCACTAGGGGATGCAAGCACCCCTGGTTGGGAACCTCTATTCCCGTGGTGGCGAACCTATGGCATGTGTGCCACAGGTGGCACGCAGAGCCCTGTCTGTGGGCACGTGCACCGTCGCCCCAGTCCTAGGCTTTCAGCTGGGTTTTATAAAACCTTTTCGCTTTAGGCCATCGCCGTGTGCAAAAAAAAAAGTTCAATCAATCAATCAATTTCAACTTCTTGCGGGGAAAAAAAAAAGATCTTGCAAAGTTGGAATTGATTGATTGAACTTTTTAATCCCGCCCAGTCTGCCATTACCACTGCAGCCACGGCCACCCAATGGGCCACACCCACCCAATGGGCCACACCCACCAGGCATCCGCTGATACATAAGTGGGTTTTGAGTTGCAGTTTGGGCACTTGGTTCGCCATCACCTATTCTATTCTATTCTATTCTATTCTATTCTATTTTCCATTCTATTCTATTCTATTCTATTCTATTTTCCATTCTATTCTATTCTATTCTATTTTCCATTCCATTCCATTCCATTCCATTCTATTCTATTCTATTTTCCATTCTATTCTATTCTATTCTATTCTATTCTATTTTCCATTCTATTTTCCATTCCATTCTATTCTATTCTATTCTATTCTATTCTCCATTCCATTCTATTCTATTCTATTCTCCATTCCATTCCATTCTATTCTATTCTATTCTATTCTATTCTATTCTATTCTATTCTATTCTATATTCCATTCTATTCTATTCTATTCTATTCTATTCTATTCTATATTCCATTCCATTCCATTCCATTCTATTCCATTCCATTCTATTCTATTCTATTCTATTCTATTCTAGCCCAGCCCAGCCCAGCCCAGCCCAGCCCAGCCCAGCCTATCCTACATTCTCTATCCTATCCTATCCTATCCTATCTCGGGCTCCTTAACCCGTTTCTTACAAGATTCGCAACGTGTTGGGGGGCTTCATCCAACCCATCCAAGGAAGGGAGCCCTTTTCTTCTTTCCGAGCAGAGGACCGTCAGCGCCCTGACAAATCGGTTGCAGCGTCCAGAGCAAAGGAAGAGAATCCGCGGACCGCGCCAAGATAAGACAGACGCCTCCCTAGAGAGAGAAAATGACGGTGCTGGTCCGCCCGGCCGCGCTCCCAAGATCCCCCCCCCTCCTCTCCCCAAATCCTGCCCTGGAAGCTGTTCCGGGATCCCCGAGGAGACACACAGCCTGCAAGTCCTCTTTAGGTAACCGGGGCGGGCCTAGCCTAAACCCCGCCCTCTGGCGTGCGTGCAGCCCGACTCCTCCTCCTTGGCTTCATCCTCCCTTCTTCCGCCCTTCGCTGCGCGCCCCGCTGTAGGCAAAAAGAAAAGGAGTGACGCGAATGGTGGGCGACGCTGGGGGGGGGGAAGCGAGAGAGGTTTTCCTGTCGGGAAGAAGAGCGAGGAGGCCCCTGCGTGGGGAATTGCACCCTGCACCCCGTTCCTTTCTCGAGGAGACTCCTGGGCCGCAGACTCCCCGGTGCAAGCTTCTGGCCCACCTCGGGTGTGGTTGCGAAGTTAAGCAGGCTCGGCCCTGGCTTGTGCCTTACGTGGGGAGTTGGAAAAGCATGCTGGAAGAAGGTAACGGTCGTCTCTTCCACGCGGTTTGCCCAGATTACAGGGGTAGGCAACCTCGGCTCTTTTATGACTCGTGGACTTCAACTCCCAGAATTCCTGAGTTAGCATAGCTGACTCAGGAATTCTGGGAGTTGAAGTCCATGAGTCATAAAAGAGCCGAGGTTGCCTACCCCTGGCCCAAAAGACTTAATGGGGAACGATGGCCCTTTGATGACTTGTGGACTTCAACGCCCAGAATTCCCGAGCCAGCCAAAAAACGAGTTCCATGTAATTAAAGCCCACTTTTTCTTATCCCATCTTCTGGAACCACTCTGAACAAATCTGCCTCACCTTCGGCATGTCCTTTATACCAGTGTTTCTCAACCTTGACAATTTTAAGGCATGTGGACTTCAACTCCCAGAATTCCACAGCCAGCAATGCTGGCTGTGGAATTCTGGGGGTTGAAGTCCACATGCCTTAAAATTGTCAAGGTTGAGAAACACTGCTTTAGACACTTCAGCAACAAAGATGATTAGGGGACTGGAGGCTAAAGCGTATAAGGAACGGTTGCTGGAATTGGGTATGTCCAGTTTAATGAAGAGAAGGACGAGGGGGGACATGACAGCAGTGTTCCAATCTCTCAGGGGCTGCCCCAAAGAAGAGGGAGTCAAGCTATTCTCCAAAGCACCTGAAGGCAGGACAAGAAGCAACAGATGGAAACTAATCAAGGAGAGAAGCAACCTAGAACTAAGGAGAAACTTCCTGACAGTGAGAACAATTAACCAGTGGAACAACCTGACTCCAGAAGCCGTGAATGCTCCAACACTGGAAGTTTTTAAGAAGAGACTGGACAGCCATTTGTCTGAAATGGTATAGGGTTTCCTGCTTGAGCAGGGGGTTGGAGTAGATGACCTCCAAGGTCCCTTCCAACTTTACTACTACTACTATTACTACTACTACTACTACTACTATTATTATTATTATTATTATTATTATTATTATTATTATTATTACTTGAAGACAGCCGTCTTGGCTCTCTGCAGCCTTCCTGAGGGTGAATATATCTGGCTCAGGAACTCTGGGAGTTGAAGTCCACAAGTCATAAAGGGGGCCATCGTTCTGACTTAACGGATGTGCCCAGAGGGTCGGCAGGAGCAAAATGTGAGTTTCTCCAGCAAGTCGTCCCCTCTGTGTCTTGGGCAGCGTTATTTGGCCTCCAAAGTAGGCCTGGTCCCGACCTGGATAGAGGCTTCTGAGGTTGATTCCCAGGTGGGTCTCTAGAAAACATATCCCTATAGACTGGATAAAAAGCGTGGATAAATGCTATTAACACCATTTTTAATTTTTAGCATAGGAAAATGAGAAGTGTGCTGGATCAGAACAGATGGCATGCATGTGTGTGTGTGTGTGTGTGTGTATGTATATATATATGCATGTCAACACAGCTGCCTAACGTGCAAGCAGCCCAGGTTCGAATCTCAGAAGAGTGTAGCTGGCTGATGAGAGCTAAGGAGCTTGAAATAGCTATACCAGCTTCCCTTTAACTCTTTTTTAGCAATCCAAATTTAACATATGAATGTGTGTATATATGCATGTGTGTGTGTGTGTATAATTATATACACACATATATAGGCATTAAGAGGTGTTAAATGTTTATTTTATATTACACTTTTTACTCTTTTATCTTACTCTTTTATAGTAGTATATTTCATTTAATCTTATTGCACAGGTAGCCCTCGACTTATGATCACAACTGAGCCCAAAATTTCTGTTGCTAAGTAAGACAATTGTTAAGTTAGTTTTGCCCCATTTAACAACCTTTCTTGCCACAGTTGTTAGGTGAGTCATTGCAGTTGTTAAATTAGTAACACCATTGTTAAGTGAATCTGGCTTCCCCATTTGCTTGTCAGAAGGTCACAAAATGTGATCACATGACTCTGGGACACACGTTGGTAGTGTTTATACTTGGTCAACGGTTCGTAGACATAAAACTAGGACACTGGTGTCCCCACAACGTTGTCAGCCTTCACACTTTTTACTAGTATTCAGTAGAAAAAGTCACGGTAACATTGAAACTAGTGATTTGTTTACCAATATTTAGTTCCTGATGGACATCAGATAAAATAGAGTGAAGAGACTTAAAGTCCTTCTCTCATTGCATCTCACTGTAGCACATGCTTTCATATGGTCAGCTGATCAATTTTGATCCTATGAGGATGCTGGAACCGTTGCAAGTCACTTTTTTCAGTGTTGTAACTTTGAACAGCCGTTAAGTGAATAGTTGTAAGTCGAGAACTATCTATAGCAGGGGTATCAAACTGCCGGCCCGCAGGCCAGTTGCATCATGTGGAGGCCATGCCCACCCCAGCTCCAGCAATGCAAAAAAAGTCACGATTCGTCTCGACACATCATGTGACGCGGCGAGTTTAACATCCGTGATCTATAGTAATACTGCTTAGAAATACAACTTTGGCTTCAAAGCTTTACAAACTCAGGTTCTTTTAATTCTGTCAAGTTAATCAGTATAACTGTTAGAAAGTAATTTTAAAAAACCAACTTGCAAGTTTGCTATCTCTTTATGATGTTTTATCTCTTTCCTACATTTTATTATTTATTTTAGATTTCATCTTAACAGATATTGAAGCAGTTCAGTACAGTAATGCTTGATGGTACATGGGCAGATGAAAACATGAGTAATTCTCCACTCTGTGTCTGAATTAAGGTATATATCTGAATTCTCTTGTACTCAATGCCGCAATGTCAGAATAATGATCAGAACTGTAAATATAAATGCAATGCATCTAGTTTGGAAAGCATTTATTCTATTTTTATATAGCTGTCCATTTTGTAGAACACAACTTTGTACATTAAAAATAAATTCCTTTCAATTACCTCAGTTATTGAGTATGTTTTGTAAAAAAAATTAAAGGAACATTTTAATCCAATTTTTTTACCTTGCCTTTATTAGTTTTAAATAACTCAGGGAAGTGAACATAACTAATATTCCTTCCTCCTTTTTTCCCACAACCCCGTGAGGTGGGTTTTGCTGGTCCAAAGTCACCTAGCCAGTTCATGGCTAAGGCAGTACTAGGACTCACTGACTCCTGGTTTCTAGTCTGGTTCATTAACCAAGGTAGGCAACCTTGGCTCTTTTATGACTCGTGGACTTCAACTCCCAGAATTCCTGAGCCAGCATAGCTCAGCTTGGAAACCTCTCCCTTCCCCTCAGCATGGCTGGCTCAGGAATTCTGGGAGTTGAAGTCCATGAGTCATAAAAGAGCCAAGGTTGCCTACCCCTGCATTAGACTAAACTGGCTCTCAGTTAATTGATTAGTTTTTTTCTTATTTGCATACGCAGGATAAATATTGAGAATGACACTGCATGAGCTGGTTCAGACTGCGGCCAGATTATATCCTGAAAGGAGAGCCGTGTGCTTTGATGCATGTAACCATCAGACTCCAGTTTCCTACATGTACAAGACGGTTATAAACCTTGCTACAGAGCTTACAGACTTCCTGAGGAAACATTGTCACCTTACTGAAAATTTGGAAATAGGTCTCTACTGTTATCCTGGGATAAACCTACCTTCTTGGATTCTAGGGTAATGCTGTGCCTTTACATTTATATCAATTGGTTAACATAAATGCAGAACATGCTATTATCACCTCATTAAGTTCAAACTATCACCATTTTCAAAGTGTTTATTTGTATAATACGTCCTATTGAACTTGCCTCCTACAATTTGAACATCACTATAGTAATGTATTCAGTTTTAATAGGATCTATGACAGGGGTAGGCAACCTTGGCTCTTTTATGACTCGTGGACTTCAACTCCCAGAATCCCTGAGCCAGCCAAGCTGGCTCAGGAATTCTGGGAGTTGAAGTCCACGAGTCATAAAAGAGCCAAGGTTGCCTGACCCTGATCTATGATATTGGCACAAATATCTGTAGAATCTAACTTTTTTGCTTGACAACTTAAGCCACTAGATGGAGTGAGACATATAGAAATAAATCCTCTTTATTTTTAAAACCTTGGCCTTTTAGTATAGGTGGCTGTGTAGTTTGGCATGCTCTAATATATTAATCTTCATCCAATATTCTGTAAAATATTATAGAAGTACATAGAAAGCCATAAGCTTCTCTGCTGGTAAGAACCCTCTGTGAGTTTGGGTGCCTGAGAGTAGCTTGCTTCATTTTGCTAGACTTCTGCAGGTGCCTTCTGCGTATTCTCCCATTGATCCAGATGCCTTGCCCAGCCTCTATATTTCCTTCATGAAGAAATGTGATTTCCAGTATGTCCTTGTTGAAGAAGATAAAGTTGATGTAAGTGCAACACTTCCAATTTTTATTTTAATTGGGATGTTTAAAATGTAATTGGAATTATGCAAACCTTATTGCGTAGATTAGTTTTATGTTTACAGTGAAGTAAGCCCATAGAATTTGAAGTAATTATAGCCAGTGGTTCCTTGGTACTCAACTGCTTTGAAGCGCATTGAATTTTAGTGTTCAGTGCATTTTGACAGAAACATTTTGTCCTGGTGCTCATCATTTGTTTGGTATTCAATGCGCAAGCTAGAATTTGTGGGTGTCGGCTGCCTTGTGACTCACTACATTATTCCTTATGGGAAAAAAATGTTTGGTACTCATTGTCTTTGGTACTCGTTGCGCTTCTCAGAACCACTTAAAGTTGTGTAACAAGGTACCACTGTAGGTAGTAGTCCTTGAATTACAACCTTATGACTTACATTACTGCTGCTTAATAACTGTTTGAAATTACGATGGGCACTTTACCACCCATCAATAACTTGTGGTCATTGCAAAATGTCATGCCACACACCCCCATATGCACACACACCTGTAAGGATCCACTTCAATCCCACATCTTAAGAAAGCAGAACTCTTGGAAACAATTTCTTCCAACAGGAACTTTTATTAAGAGTAGTTGATAGCAGGCATAATAGACAGGATCTGAGGGATTCCCTTACAGATCGATATTTTAAAGTGTCCCTAAGCAAACCCCACCCCACAGTTCATCTGGGCGGTTCAGACCGGCAAATCCCCAGGTGTTAAATCCATAAATGGGAAAGGAAAGATAACATCGGTCCGGCTCTGTTTGTGCATCGATCATTCCACAGCTCTTCACACCTCATTTTGAGGACGGAGAAATAAACCAGGTCCTGGAGGTTTGTATCTCGTCCACCCCCCCTTTTTTTCCTAGCTGCCCGGTTAGGGAGAAGTTCAGAGGGATGCATAGTATAGGAGGCAATTTGTTACATTGTAATGGGTAGCAGACATGAAGGTGAATAAACAAAAGGTTACATTGTAGTGAATAGAGGAAGTGAAAGCAATAAACTCACTTGTATATCCCCCCTCCCCCTTGGGAGTATGGCAGAATCCAGGGAAAGGTGAGAATTGGTTTTAGATCAGAGGAGATAGATAGAAAGGAAATATAACTGGGCAGGGTCACATGACAACAATTTGCGATTTGTTTTGCCAATTTCTGCCATTTTTTGCTCAGTTCTGGCAAAAAATGACCATTTGGATAGCACTTAACAACCACAGTGATTGCTTAAGAACTGATGATTCAGTTAATGACCGTGATGACACTTGGCAACTGACACATATTTATTTATACAGTTGCAGTGACCCTGGGGTCATGTGATCTCCTTTTGAGACCTTCTGACAAGCAAAATCAATGGGGAAGCCAGATTCACTTAACAATTGTGCTACTAAACTACTGCAGTGATTCACTTAACAAATGTGATGAGAAAGGTCGTAAAATGGGGCAAAACTCACTTAACAAATGTCTCGCTTGGCAACATAAATTTTGGGTTCAATTGTGGTCGTAAGTCGAGGACCACCTGTATTCTGCATTAATGGGTTTTTGCAACCCAAATCCTATAGCCCTACCATTAAAGCTACAGTGTGTTACTAATTTTTGCACTTGTTGCAGAGTCCCTTTGGGTTAAAAAAAGAAAAGCCATATTCCCTTGAAAGGCATCTTATTTGATTAGCTGCTCTAAATTTATTTGATTTGATTTGTTGTGATTTTAGACACAGAGAAGTAAACAGGCTAAAGTTGTGTTAGAATAAGTTTCCCCCCTTTTTTTCTCTTTTTTTCCCCAGAAATTCACAATAACCTATGGACACTTGTACAGCCAAAATTCTCTTCAAATGCAGAGAATTGGTTTAGTTCTCTTCCAAAGACACAACAGTGTTCAGCTGACCAAACATGTAAATGCAGACAGTGAAGGCTCTATGGTCAGAAGCATTTGTAAAGTGCAACAACATGAGGCTAAACCACCAAAAGATATGTTGGATGTCAGAGAGAAACATTCCCTGGCATATGTTTTGCATACATCTGGAACAACTGGGCTCCCCAAAATTGTGAGAGTGCCTCATAAATGTATCGTACCAAATATCCTTCATCTTAGGTAAGTGTTTCCCAAATTCACTTAGTAATATATTTTGATAAGGGTTAACAAAAAGAATAACAATAGCATAATTCATGTTGGACTTCCAGTTTTCTACTTCCTACATAATTGGAACAGATCTGAGATAAACACATAGATCTTCGTTTGCAAGCTATAATAAAATATATTTTGGAGATGAATCTCATTCTGGGTTGACCTCGTTATAATTTCCAACTTTTAGAAAGGTTGCTTAGACTGCAACCCAGACCTTCAAGGTGTATAGTTTATGTAAGGTTGATCTGACTTAAAGATGGAATTGGAGAATGTATAACATGTGTGAGTGGGAGAAAGGGTTTAATTGATTAACATGGTTTATGTGTGATCAGTATTGCAAGAAGTGCAAAATTGCTTAAAATTTCATCTACATCTAATTCCTTAGAGATGTATTTTTTCCCCCTTATTTTAGAGAGATTTTTAAAATTACCCCAGATGATGTGGTGTTTATGGCCTCTCCTTTGACTTTTGATCCATCAGTCATTGAGCTGTTCCTTACTCTAGCGAGTGGAGCTTGTCTGCTTATACTACCCACAGTGATTAAAATGATGCCACAGCAGTTATCCAGAGCTCTTTTCCAGCAACACAGAGTGACCGTTTTGCAGGTAAAAAACTTATACTTGAATACAGCGTTATTTGGAGAGTTAATTAAGCTATCTACTGGTCTTGTTTGCTTGAGTAAGGAGGAATATTCACAAGGCCATTTATATTGCAGATTAGCCCAAAGTCTTTAAGTGAATTTTGCCCCATTTTTTGACCTTTATTGCCACAGTTATTAAGTGAATCACTGCAATTGTTAAATTAGTAAC